TAGTAAAAGATATAGAATAGTTGTTCTGTTACATGCTACAGTCAGTGGTGGGCACCAGCCCGCTAAAGCACAAATCCGCTAATTGCGGACCTAAATATTTTCATAAGTGCTTTAGAAACTGCGGAGCTAATGTTTTGGATTAGCGCTGCCCACCATTGGCTACAGTGCGTCACCTACCATTAAGCCCCCGTCTGAGGTGGGCTAAATATCAGGCCCTGAAGCTGCGGGCTACCCCCGCCCCCCTGGAGTGAGTTAGTTGGACAGCTCTGTGCTCACCGTTTGACCTGYTGTCATTTGACCCATTTTGTTTGTTCTGTGTTTTATTTCTCATCGCAGCGTTATAGTTCATTGATCTTGTGCCTCTAATCCTCTGTTTATGGTTTCTGACAGGGAGGTCCTGGAATCCGAGGAGCCCGAGGCGACCGTGGAGAGCCAGGCCCAGTGGTAAGTCTCATTTGTTTTTGTTTTTTTTAGTTTTAACCTCTGCTGTGTGGAAACGGTTCTGGATCAGATCTTAAGCTGATGTCGACACACTGAGCTCGTGGGCTCACCGCTGCTTGCTGCTGTGTTGTTGGAACTGTCRGTCTGTGTGCTGACGGTCATGTTGATGAGATTATTGTTGGATTTGGTTTAAACAGGTAAACTGCTGCACTATGATCACATTCACACGAGACACCGCTATTGTTGACAAGAACAAAGAGCAATGTTTTATATCAAAATGTGTTCTGTTTTAAGTTGGTCACACCATCTGCAGACAGAGAAACCTGCTGCCGCTCTACTTTCATTTTACACAACACAACACACTGGAAACCAAACATAATCAACACCTCTAACAGAGCTGGTTTCTCTCACAAGCATCACGGTCCTCCTGCATGGCTGCTGTTTGAAAACTGAACTACAAACTCAGAGTGAAGCTTGAGTTCTGAACCTTGTAGGATTTGTCACATTGGTCCCCTCCTCAACCAGAAATCGGTGCTTTTTTTCACTTGCTTTACATTCAGAATTGATTTGTTTGCAGTTGTTGATTAAGAAATGGGATCAAGGACAGAACAATATTAGCGAGCCCATCTTTGTCAGTGGTTTGTCCTCATTGATGYTTCTATTTCTCGCTGTAAAATGTGTCAACACTGTGACGTTTTCTAACCTGTTGATCGGACCTCATCCTCTGTGTTTTTCTGCRTCAGGCTCCTTAAAACAAAGAGCTTAGAGGAAGTGAAACCAGACGGGTTTCTTAGTTTGTCTGTGATCTTGTTTATTCTCAGRGCTCATCATATCAACAGATTACAGTGAATAAAAAAGCTAAATGCAGCTGAATTTCCTGAGACTGTCCTGCAGCTACAACTGGATTCCTGTAAGATGCAGATAAATGATAAGAAACTGAAATGTAGTGAAATATATATTTATTTATTTAGATCAAAGGAAACACAAGTTATAGACACACATTCATAAAAAAATAGATAAAAACAACCCGTGTAGATACAACATGATTGACATTAGATAAATTTATTATTTCATGTAGAAAGAAAGTGGTAAAAAAATGATATTTGGGACGTTTCTCAGTCATTGTATATTTTGACATTTCACATCCTTCAGTGAAGAAAGAAATTATTTCTCACCGATCCAATAAAATAAAAAATGTGTTCCTGGCGTCCATTTTCCACGTATATTGCAGCAAGTTGCAAATTCTGAGTTTCTAGATTGTGTTTTTGGTAAGAAACTGTAGAAAACTTCATCTGAGTTTCACACAGAAACTGATGTCAGCTTTAAAACTTTTATTTTAAAAATGGCTTTTTCATATCAGAATGCCATTCAGTAGTGAAGCTAATTGTTTCCAGTATTTGTTTTAATTCTCCTCTCTCTCCTCTCTTATCTAAGACCAACCCACA